ACATTAATTGAATTTGTCCCACTTTAGGCATTCCTACTTATGCTATGTCTCACCTCTTTTCTACCTTACGAGGTGATTCTAACTTAAACAGTAAATGCTCCCTGTCCAAAGAGGCATTAGAGGAACTTCAATTAATTGAAGAAAAAATTTCTTGTTTTATTCTATTAGTGAGGACATCTAGGATGATGATTTTTTTAGAATAAAATTATAGTTTTTTAGACGGAGTCTTGCTCTGTAGCCCGGGCTGGAGTGCAGTGGCCGGATGTCAGCTCACTGCAAGCTCCGCCTCCCGGGTTCACGCCATTCTCCTGCCTCAGCCTCCGGAGTAGCTGGGACTACAGGCGCCCGCCACCTCGCCCGGCTAGTTTTTTGTATTTTTAGTAGAGACGGGGTTTCACCGTGTTAGCCAGGATGGTCTCGATCTCCTGACCTCGTGATCCGCCAGTCTCGGCCTCCCTAAGTGCTGGGATTACAGGCTTGAGCCACCGCGCCCGGCTAGGATGATGATTAATAGCAGTGGTGAGAGGAGGCATCCTTACCTTGTTCCTGATCTTAGTGGGAAAGCATCTAGATATCAAAATTAAGTATGATCTTAGCTTCAGCTTCTTTTTAGAGGTTCTTTACCAAGTGGGAGAAATTTGCTTCTATCTGCTGTTAGGTTTATGGACCTGAGCATGCCACCTAATAATTGCTTTTCCCTTTTCTTTCTGTAAAAAATCCCTCAGAATTCATGAAAAGTTGTGAGTGTCAGGTTGGTTGGTTCTGACTGATCACGTGTGTTGTGGGCCATCTGTGTGATTATAGGGAAAAGTTCAGAACACCAGCAACCTACATTGGATGGGACCACCTCTGACTCCAGGGATTGCCACTCAATCTTTCCGAGATTAGCACCTACATCCAATAAGGTAATTTTGTCTAAGACCCTGGTGGGGACCAGCAGCCTTATGATCTCAAGATAATCCCTTTGACATGCTGGTAAGCTGCAGTACTACAGAAAACAACGTAGGCCCCTTGGCTACTTGTTTTGCTTTGGGAGAACAGTTGAGTTACATCCTCTCATGCTTTGGAAAGGACTGATACCAAATGTACCTTCTTTTCTTTCCTTATCAGTGCCTGACCATGGGGTATCATGGATGTGCATGTTTCAACAGCCTCCCACTCACCCCATTAGTGAGAGAGGAACTAGGGCCCTAGGGCTATCTAGGTAGCCTAACACATGATATCCATCACTGGACAAATGCAACTAACAACAGTTTATTAGTCATATATATTCGCAGCCCAGATGAGGAGGGTACCATAAGTCATGCAGATCCACAAAGAAAATGCATTTGGGAGCAGAGGGCCCAAACATGGCTGTGGGAAACAGGCTTTGTAGTATCAAAAGGGTGAATTAACCCTTGGTTCCCCTGGGAGGATGTGATTCACTTCTTTGAATAATGTGTGGGTTAGCAAGGATCTGAAAACCCTTATACAAGAGACACAGACTATATAACTATGCTATAATAGTATAAAACTGTATTATGCAGTATAGCATAATAGTAATTACATATTTTAGTTATACATAACATATACCAGTTATGTATAATATATACAATTATATATTATGCAATATATTACATATTATACACACAAATATATCTATAAATGTACATGTAAACACATTATAGGCTATACTAGATAATGCTATACTATATAGTAGAAAATGGTCCACAAATACCTCTTTTGAATATAGCTGCAGAGGCCCAAAAAAATACCAGCAAATTGAATCCAGCAATATAAAAAAAGACCTATACAACATGACCAAGTTGGATTGAGCTCAGAAAAGCAATGTTGGTCTCACATATAAATATATATTAATATGCCATATTTACAGAATAAGGGATCTATTATCATAGGATCATCCCAAAAGGCACAGAAAATGATTTTTTTTTTTTTTAAGACAGGGTTTTGCTCTGTCACCTAGGCTAAAGTGCAGTGGTGTAATCATAGCTCACTGCAGCCTTGAACTCCTGGGCTCAACTGATCCTCCCACCTCAGCCTTCTGAGTAGCTAGGGCTACAGGCATGCACCACAACACTCAGTTAAGTTTTAATTTTTTTGTAGAGACAAGGTCTTGCTATATTGCCCAGGCTGATCTCAAACTCCTGGCCTCAAGTAATTTTTTGGCGGGGGGGGCAGTGCCCAGTACAGGTGGCAGCACACATTAGGACTTCAAAATCCAGAGATTCCATGATTCTGAGTTACGTGAATTTGGGTAGAATCCTGTGCTCTGTACTTAACTTTCTTCATTTGTAACATGGGAGAACTGATTGGTTGGGCAATCAAATGAGATACTCATAATTATGAAATCACAGTGCCAAGTACTAAGGTAAGTTATCACTGAAAAAAATGGACAAAGATTTTATTTCCTTTGCTCAAATTTAATAAGACACAAATATTTGACTTTCCCCCCGCTCTTCCCAAACATGTGAATACCAAATTGGGATCTGGGGGCTTTCTGGATTTTCAAACTACTCCTCTTATAAGAAGGCATTAAATTTTTCCTTATATGATGACACCAGATATTCTTCCTTTCCACTAAATTAGGCTATTATGCAAAATGATTCCCTGTCTGCAGCTCACCTCCATTATCTCTTGAAAATTACCCTCTAAACATCCATAGATCTTTTGGGTGGTACATATTGGGTGATTCTGCCTGCACAACAGCAAAATGATCATGCCGCATATCCAAGGCAACTTAAGAATCAAATGACATTAAATGGAAACGTCAACATCACCAATACCTGTGGCCCAAATCAATAGGACATCTCAAATCCTAAATACTCACATCCAAACTCATGATCACACTTTACACGTCTCAAAACTTTTATCCATTATAAAAATAAAGATGAACCATATCTACACCTTTGTTTATGGGGAATCATTACTGTTCATCCCAGGGATGTAGGACTGTATTGTTCACCAGTATACATCAAACCTGAGCAGTTCCTCAGTGTTTTAATATGATATGTTAGATAGGCTGGGTGCTGTGGCTCACGCCTGTAATCCCAGCACTCTGGAAGGCTGAGGTGGGCGGATCACGAGGTCAAGAGATTGAGACCATCCTGGCCAACATGGTGAAACCCCATCTCTACTAAAAATACAAAAATTAGCTGGGTGTGGTGGCACACACCTGTAGCCCCAGCTACTCAGGAGGCTGAGGCAGGAAATCACTTGAACCTGGGAGGCGGGGGTTGCGGTGAGCTGAGATCGTGCCACTGCACTCCAGCCTGGTGACAGAGTGAGATTCTGTCTCAAAAAAAAAAAAAAAAAAAAGATATGTTAGATAATGAAAATAAATGATCAATGACAACATTCTTACTCATGGTGGTCCCTACCCTCCAAAGCTAAGGTATCCAACACAACCGTAGCTTCCCTATTAATCTCACAGGTTGGTTGTTATTTCATTTCCTTCAAAGATCTTAATTGCTTTCTAAAAACCAAACCCTTACCTTTTATTAACCATCTCTCTTTCCCCAAATCTGTAAGCATCAGGAAGGCAAGAACTTGTTTCATGTTTCTATATCCATAGCATGGAATGTCTTGATAATTTGTGCTGAACTGTGTATGCTTTGATACTACAGTGCCAGGCCTATGAGAAAGGTTAAAAAATGAGCATCAAGAGCAACATGGCTTGATTTGAACAGTGATTCTGTCTTTCCATCTTGCTAGGTTTGTGGTCTCTGAAAACTTATCTACACTTATTGGACTCTGCTAGTGCACAAAGGAGAAAAAAAGTATTATATAGTTTGCTAAAGACTAAGTGAACTTACATATTTTAACTGAGATATTTTGTGGAAAACATTGTCCAATACACTATAAGAAATATTTCCATGTTTAGATAATAAAAAAGGTTAAGAACAGTTCCACAGAACTAGGATCTGACCTCACACTCAGGTTAGGCCAAGTCTTATCCTGTTGAAGAGAAAAATGTCACACTTCCTTCATCAGACAAAGCTACTCAGCAACCATGATGGATCAAGATAAAAACAATAACCATGTCTCTAAAAATGGTAAAAGAGAACAGAGTTGAAGCCATTAAAATGACCAAAATTACCCTCTACTCACTAATCCAAGTGAGTGGTTTCTTACGAATTAGGTTTAGCTCCACTTCATTCTTCCTGCCTCTAGATAAGAATTATGATTACCAGTGACACAATTAAGTTCACCTCACAGCATGTGACACACACAGGAGTGCCTCAGTTTGCTGATTAGCAACCAAGTCACCTAACAAAAATCCAAATCCAAAAAGAAGTCTTTTTGAGCACCCTCTTTTTTATTTTTTTATTTTTTGAGATGGAGTCTTGCTCTGTGGTGCAGGCTGGAGCGCAGTGGCGTGATCTTGGCTCACTGCAACCTCCACCTCCTGGGGTTCAAGCAATTCTCCTGCCTCAGCTTCTCGAGTAGCTGGGATTACAGGCGCACACCACCATGCCCGGCCAATTTTTATATATTTTTTAGAAGAGATGGGTTTCACCATGTTGGCCAGGCTGGTCTCGAACTCCCGACCTTGTGATCCGCCCACCTTGGCCGCCCAAAGTGCTGGATTACAGGCATGAGCCACCGCACCCAGCCGAGCACTCTCTTACTGATACTCCCCAGAGTCACTTATGGTTTATTATCATTCCTATTACTACAATTCTTAACACTCCTCTCTTGACTACAGGTGTGATCCTATGGTTTATTATCATTCTTATTACTACAATTCTTAACACTCCTCTCTTGACTACAGGTGTGATCCTGGTGATCTTTGAAAAAAAGGCACAGAAACAACCATGATTTAAGTTTTTGGTATTATGAATGTATGATAAATTGATTTTCTGGGAAAAAATCATAACTATATTAAGAATAAAAAATAAAAAATTCCTAAGGACAATACTTCATCTTGTATGCACACAATATTGACTCAGAATATATGAGGATTAACTCAATAAACTTAAAAACTTAATCTGAAAATCTATAATTGCAATGGAATATTTTAATATATCCTTGCAGAAAATTCAAGAGACAACAAGTGATAGCATACAAGTTATCTGAAAACAGTGAATATTTCTAAGAAACATCTACAGAAGCTTTTGTTCAACAAAAACATACACATAGTTTTTAATCACATATAATGAAACAAAATTGAAAATGTACTGAGAGATTACATTCAACTGTCATAAGAAACACCAACAATCTGCTTGATATTAGGAAGGTGCTTATTCTTACACTGCAGGACTGGGAATTCAATGCACAATGCAGTGGAGGGACTAATACCCATGTAGTTCTTTTTGACTGCATCACTGTAGTTGTCATGGTGGAATCAGAAACACACAGTCACTTGTACTGTTAACAAAACATGGTGTTTATTACATAAATAATACCTTTGATAAATTCAACCTAGAGATGAGGTAAGTCAGAGCATCAGAGAATATTCCCAACCTTAAGAGTCCAAATAGTTGCCTGGTGGACACATTAGAATTTCTAGGAAAATCCAAACTGCAGTGCATCTTTGAGTAGAACTTTCGAAGACAATCTGTGGAAAACTACATCTCTGAAAATATGGCAGCTGGGGCCACGCACAGTGGTTCACGCCTGTAATCTTAGCACTTTGGGAGGCCAAGGTGAGCGGATCATGAAGTCAGGAGTTTGAGACCAGCCTGGCCAACATGATGAAACCCTGTCTCTGCTAAAAATACAAAAAAATTTAGCTGGGTTTGGTGGCGGGCACCTGTAATCCCAGCTACTTGGGAGGCTAGGGCAGGACAATTGCTTGAACCCAGGAGGCAGAGATTGCAGTGAGCGAAGATCATGCCACTGCACTTCAGCCTGGGCAACAGAGCAAGACTCCATCTCAGAAAAAGAAAGAAAAGAAAGGGAAAGAAAGAAGGAAGGGAGGGAGGGAGGGAGGGAAGGGAGGAAGGCAGGCAAATATGGCAGTCAAGCAGTTAGTGGTGGTTCTAAGAATACTCTCAGCTGGCAGAGCAAAGGATCAGGACAATGTGGTGGAAGCAGGTGTCCCTGAAGCCCGTATGCATCCATCTGTCTCCACATATGGTGGCTATAAAACCTGACTAATGCTTTCTTTACTTCTGCCTTCCATATCTCCTGCAAGTAGGCTATTGGTCAGTTATACCACGGAGCCATAAAAGGATAGATTACAGAAAACATAAGTCACAACATCACCCATGTTAACACAACCCAGGACAACCATTTCCAGCTATAGGTTATATGGTTCTATCTCAGGTCTCTCTTATTAATGCAAAGCCTATTATCCAAATCACAGCCAGAAAGAATTACAAATAGCAAAGAACAGAAAATGAAAATAATAATTCCAATGAGAGAGTATACTGCATGATAAACTTTGCAGACTCAAATATTTATTATGATTATTTTTTAGCATAAAAAAATAGAAAAAAGGGCATTCTGTCTTCCTCTAAAAAAGCTTATTTTGGTCAGAAAGAAAGATGAAATACATATAATGATATCTAGTACCTGCCACATAAGGCTAGTAGGAAATCCTAAAGATTACCAAATTGTGATTTTTTGATGGCCCGTTACAGCACAACTAAAAAATACATAAAAATCAAAACTACTAGCTTATTACAAATACACTTCAGTTCACTCATGAATCTAACAGACTTCAATATGGAAAGACAAAATTTCAGAAACTGATTTAATGAAAAAATACTATCAATTCAACTTGTGTACAACTGTATAAAAGCTTACAGAATTATCTCATCTCAGTGTTCTTTTGTGAAATAGAAATCCATAATTCAGAGATCCACTTTAAGAATCAGTAACTGACACTATATAACACTTCTGTCATGTTGTGAATTTTCTAGAACAATATACATGAATTAATTTGCATCAGGCTTTCCCATATTATCTACATTTATACAACACCTCCCTAGTGGGAGTTTCAACGAGATTGAAATTTCACACATAAGGGAGTATCACATGAGCATTTGTTAAAATTGAAAACATTGTTATTTCTCACTTTTATAGGATATCTATCCAGTCTGCATTCTCACATATAAGTATAAGGGCCAACTGAAGGCTTTCTCACAATGTCTATATTCAAGAAGTCGCTTTCCAGTGTGAGTTTGTTCATGGCTTCCAAGTAAACTGAGACAAATAAAGGTTTTTCCACATTCTTTACAATTATAGAGTTTTCCACATTCTTTACATTTTTAAGGTTATTAATTCTTTATATTTATAGGGCATATGAAAATTCTTTACACTTCATATGCCTTCTCACGGTCTTTAAAAGGTCACATGACCATTGAAGATTTTCCCACATTGCCTACATTCGCAGGGTTTCCTGTCCAGTATGAATGCTTCCTCATATTCACATGTAAAGAATTGAAGGTATCCCCATGTCTTATAGTCATAGGGTTTCTCTGAAATATGAATAATTTCATGTCTTCAAAAGGAAATGGGAGCCGGATGCGGTGGCTCACACCTGTAATCCAACACTTTGGGAGGCCAAGGCAGGCAGATCGTCTGAGGTCAGGAGTTCGAGACCAGCCTGGCCAACGTGGTGAAACCGCATCTCTACTAAAAACACAAAAAGTAGGTGGGCATGGTGGTTCACACCTGTAGTCCCAGCTACCCAGGAAGCTGAGGCAGGAGAATCACTTGAACCCAGGAGACAGAGGTTGCAGTGAGCTGTGATCACACTACTGTACTCCAGCCGGGGTGACAGAGTGAGACTTCATCTCAAAAAAAAAGAAAAAAAAAAAGGAATAGGACAACTGAAAACTTTGCCATATTGCTTACATACATAGGGTTACTCTCCGCTATGAACTCTTTCATGTATTCGAAAGGAACGGGAACACTTGAAGGCTTTACCACATTGTTGACACGCATAGGGTTTCTCTCCAGTGTGAGTTCGTTCATGGATTCGAAAGGAACGTGAGCAACTGAAGGCTTTATCACATTGTTTACATTCATAGGGTTTCTCTCCAGTGTGAGTCCTTTCATGCATTCGAACAGAACTAGAACAACTGAAGGCCTTACCACATTGTTTACACTCATAAGGTTTCTCTCCAGTGTGAGTCCTTTCATGTATTCGAATGGAACTGGAACAACTAAATGCCTTACCACACTGTTTACATTCGTAGGGTTTCTCTCCAGTGTGAGTCCTTTCATGCATTCGAAAGGAACTGGAACAACTGAAGGCTTTACCACACTGTTTACATTCATAGGGTTTCTCTCCAGTGTGAGTCCTTTCATGCATCCGAAGAACTAGAAAAACAAAGGCTTTACCACACTGTTTACATTCATGAGGTTTTCTCTCAGTGTGAATTCTTTCATGCATTCGAAAGGAACTGGAACAACTGAAGGCTTTTCCACACTGTTTACATTCATAGGGTTTCTCTCCAGTGTGAGTCCTTTCATGTATTCGAACAACTGGAATTGTGAAGGCTTTACTACACTGTTTACATTCATGGGGGTTTCTCTCCAGTGTGAGTTCTTTCATGCATTAAAGAGGAACTGGAACAACTGAAGGCTTTACCACACTGTTTACATTCAAAAGGGTTTCTCTCAGTGTGAGTCCGTTCATGGATTTGAAAGAGAAAGGAACTGGAACAACTGAAGGCTTTACCACACTGTTTACATTCAAAGGGTTTCTCTCCAGTGTGAGTCCGTTCATGGATTTGAAAAGAACTAGGACAATCAAAGGCTTTCCCACATTCCTTGCATTTATAAGGTCCATTTCCAGTGTGCATTATCATATGTCTTCGATAGCTTGGAAGAGAAATGAATGCTTTCCCACATTCCTTACAATCATAGGGTTTCTCTCCTGTATGAATTCTTTCATGTTTTCTAAAGGAACTAGGAAAACTGAAGGCTTTGCCACATTTTTTACATTTATAGGGTTTTTCTCCAGTGTGAATCCTTTCATGACTTCGAAAGGATGTGGGACAACTAAGAGCTTTACCACATTGCTTACACTGATAGGGTTTTTCCCCAGTGTGAGTCCTTTCATGTATTTGAAAAGTTTGGTAATATCTGAAGGCTTTTCCACATTGTTTACATTCATAGGGTTTCTCTCCAGAGTGAGTTCTTTCATGATTTCGAAAAGAGCTGGGATGACTGAATGTTTTCCCACATTCTTTACATTTATAGGGTTTCTCTCCTGTGTGCATTCTCATGTGTCCTCGAAAGGTTGTGTGATAAATGAAGGCCTTCCCACATTCCTTACATTCATAAGGTTTCTCTCCAGTATGAGTTCTTTCATGTATTTGAAAGGAACTGGGCCAACTGAAAGCCTTACCACACTGCTTACATTTATAGGGTTTCTCTCCAGTGTGAGTTCTTTCATGGATTCGAAATGAACTTCGAAAGCTGAATCTTTTCCCACATTCCTTACATTCATATGACTTCTCTCCATATTTGTGATACTCATATGATCTATGTTCAGTATGAGATCTCATGTGCCTATTAAGAGATGAATGACACATATAGTCCTTTCCACACACACTACATTCATATGGTTTCACCCTAGTAAAAGTTTTCTTGTTTGGTTTAGGATTTGGAGTCTGACTGATGGTTTCTCCAAACTGACTACCTTCTTTCCTTTCACAGAGCCTCTCTACCATATGACTTCTGTGAGAAAAAAAAAAAAGCACACAATTAGTGGCTTTTTAAAATTAATAATTTTATAATTATTATTTCACAATCATTAGTAGGTAGTAGAATTACACTTTTGCCATTTTCAGGGGAAGTGTATGTTATGAATGCTCAGGAAGAGTACTTGACCAGAGCCATTATCAAAACAACAAAACTCATAATATAGAGTTTCTTTCTTTTTTTTTTTTTTTTTGAGAAGAGTCTTGCTCTGCTGCTGAGGCTGCAGTGCAGTGGCACAATCTTGGCTCACTGCAACCTCCATCTCCTGGGTTCAAGCAATTCTGCCTCAGCCTCACGAGTAGCTGGGATTACAGGAACCCACCACCACACCTGGCTAATTTTTGGATTTTCAGTAGAGGCAGGGTTTTGCCATGTTGGCCAGGCTGGCCTCAAACTCCACACCTCAGGTGATCTGCCCACCTCAGCCTCCCAAAGTGCTGGGATTACAGGCATGAGCCACCATGCCTGGCCAAAATTCATAATATAGAGTTTCTTAATATTGTTTCCAGGCGAAATATTTTTCAAATATTGAACAACTGTACCTTTTTTTGAGACAGAGTCTCGCTCTATCCCCCAGGCTGGAGTGCAGTGGCGCGATCTCGGCTCACTGCAAGCTCTGCCTCCGGGTTTACGCCATTCTCCTGCCTCAGCCTCCTGAGTAGCTGGGACTACACGCGCCCGCCACCACGCCCGGCTAATTTTTTGTATTTTTAGTAGAGACGGGGTTTCACCTTGGTCTCGATCTCCTGACCTTGTGATCCGCCCGCCTCGGCCTCCCAAAGTGCTGGGATTACAGGCATGAGCCACAGCGCCCAGCCATCTGTACCATTTTTAAGAAAACTTTCTTGGCAACAATTTTCAACAAATAAATATGGAATGGGGCTTCTTCCAATTATTCATTTTTTAAACTTAATGACATGCTAAGATTCTCTCATAAGACAGTATTTTCTTTTGTAAGTACAACTCACCTTAGCTTTCTGCCCTGATTTTTGTGGTCTTCAGTGTTCTTCTCCTCCCAGTTTTCCCCTAAAATGCAGGCCCAGAAAAATCATTAAAACTATTTGAAATTATAGAAAAATTATTAGATTCTAAATCTAGGATGAGCTGTTATCCTGTCTGATTTATTTACCAAAGTATTCCCTTTCAACATCCTAAACCTTGGAACCTTGTTGATGAACAAGAAACACTTGTTCTCTAATTGACTAAGTGAGGGAATAATTTCAGTCTTACCTATAGAGGCCAAGTTAACAAAGGTTTCTTGCATCACATCTCTGTAGAGTTTCTTCTGAGAGGGACCCAGCAAAGCCCACTCCTCCTGGGTGAAGTTCACAGCCACATCCTCAAAGACCACTGAGTCCTGAAACATCCCACATGTATAGAGGAGGACGGGTGAGACTGACAGCACTGAGGATATATACTCAGTTCATTAAAAGTCCATATATAATTCCTTTTTCTCCATTTATCCTATAACTTTGACATCAGAACTCAAATCTCTGTCCATACTTACTTCTTCATAAATTTAACACCACCATGAATATTTGGAAATTATTTTTACATTTTTACTATGATCACTTCAAGTCTTATGCTCTCCAATGACAGGATACACAGCATCTTGGAGAAATGCTATAGAAATGAAACAAATATTTCCAGTTTAAGACGAACAATTCCTTGTAAGAAAAATACTTTTTATCTCCTGCCTTATCATGTACTATATCACTTAGCATCCCATGAAACACAGGGTCAAATCTGTATAAGATTTTTGTGTGTGTGTGTGAGATAGAGTCTTGCTCTGTCGCCCAGGCTGGAGTGCAGCGGCGCCATCTTGGCTCACTGCAACCTCCACCTCCCGGGTTCACACCATTCTCCTGCCTCAACCTCCCCAGTAGCTGGGACTACAGGCACCCGCCACTATGCCCGGCTAATTTTTTGTATATTTAGTAGAGACGGGGTTTCACCATGTTAGCCAGGATGGTCTCGATCTCCTGACCTCGTGATCCGCCCACCTTGGCCTCCCAAAGTGCTGGCATTACAGACGAGGTCAGGATTCGGGAGGCTGAGGCAGAATGGTGTGAACCCGGGAGGTGGAGCTTGCAGTGAGCCAAGATCATGCCACTGCACTCCAGCCTAGGTGACAGAGCGAGACTATGTCTCAAAAAAAAAAAAAAAAAAAAAAAGAGTGGCTTAGTGTGCCTAAATGGTTTATGGAATCAATAGAGTATATACTGAACTCCTTTTTTCCTTTTTAGAGTCTGGACTTTTTCACATGCCAGGAGGATGCCTACTTGATCAGCCCCCCAAAAGCACTGTGAGCACTGGGTCTCTAATGAGCTTCCCTAGCAGACAATATATAATAACACAACTTGTTGCTTGGGGAATTGAGCCCATTCCATGTGATTACATGAGGAAAGAACATTTAAAGGCTTGCATCTGCTTTCCTCCATGCCAACTATGACTAAATAAGGCTAATGAAGGATATTTAACAATCCTAATTTAAAAAAATGTTATTGGGTAAAGTCAAAGCAGAATTAAATCAAGGTGAAAGTTGGTACATGTTCTTAGAACAAACTCAGTGTCAACAAGATGCCACTGCTCCCAAATGATATCTTTATAAAATTCTACAAATCCCTAAAACAGACTTATTAGGAGTCAAGAAAAACTACTTTTCCAAACCTAAGAGGAATAATAAATGTCAAACAATGGGTAAAGTCTTTTGAAGAGCAACATAAATACTTGCCTAGTATGTATCAACGATTTTCAAACTATAACCCTCCTAACAGCATAACACGCAGAGAGATAAATAGAACAAGAGAGGGGGAAAGTGTCTTCAATGGACTGGCATTTATAAGGAAAACTGATTAATGATAGAGCAAGCATTGTAGGGGAATGGAAGATATCACTAACACTTTAATACATGTAGAAGAGACAAACTGTTATCTAATTGGAAAAAGCATTGCATTAGCTCTATTCCATAGACAATAATCAATTTAATGTAGATTTAAACGTGAAGAATAGAATTAAAACTCTTTCAAAAGTCACAGGCAATTTTTTTTAAATGCAAGAGTAGGGAGAATTTTCTCATGTAAGAGTAAGCCATAAAGGAGGAGACTGAAAACTTCAAATATCCTAAAATCAAGAAAGTTAAAAGACAAACCACAAAGCAGCAGAAAAATATCTGACATACGTGCAATATAAATGAACTAGTATGCAAAGTAAAAATAAATGAACAGGGCTGGGCGCGGTGGCTCACACCTGTAATCCCAGCTACTTGGGAGGCTGAAGCAGAAGAATCGCTTGAACCCAGGATGCAGAGGTTGCAGTGAGCCGAGATTGCAGCACTGTACTCCAGCCTGGGCAACAGAGTGACATTCTGCCTATAAAAAAAGAATCTAGCCGGGCGTGGTGGCTCACACCTGTAATCCCAGCACTTTGGGAGGCCGAGGCAGGTGGATCACGAGGTCAGGAGATCGAGACCATCCTGGCTAACAGGGTGAAACCCCGTCTCTACTAAAAATACAAAAAATTAGCCGGGCGTGGTGGCGGGCGCCTGTAGTCCCAGCTACTTAGGAGGCTGAGATAGGAGAATGGCGTGAATCCGGGAGGCAGAGCTTGCAGTGAGCCAAGCTGAGATGGCGCCACTGCACTCCAGTATGGGAGACACAGCAGACTCCGTCTCAAAAAAAAAAAAAAAAAAAAAAAAAAGAATCTAATCATCTACATTAGAAAAGCAAGAAAATATGAGCAAATAAAACCCAAAGTAAACGCACAACAGAAGAAATAATAAAAAGAGAAATTAAACAAAACCAAAGGTGTTTATTTGAAAAGATCAATATATTTGATAAATGTACGGTACGCTAACTAAAAAACAAAGAGAGAATAGAAATTACTAATATCACAAATATAAGTGGGAAAAATAAAAATGAAAAAGTTATGGGCAAAATCCAACATGCATTTATGATAAGAAACTGGAGACAGACCTTCCTCTTTTTGAGAAGCAGTATTTATAGGAAACCTGCCGCTAATATCATATTTAATAGTGAGAAACTAGATGCTTTCCTGGTAAGATGAGGAAATGGGCAAAGATGTTCCCTCTTACCACTCCTACTCAACAGATTATACCCAAAGTGTAACTAATGAGAGGAGAGGAGAGGGGAGGGGAGAAGAGACACAGATAGGGAAGGAAGAAATATCACTGTCTTTGTGGCATGTGACATGATTGTCTAAGTATAAAATCTCGCCAGGCACGGTGGCTCACGCCTGTAATCCCAGCATTTTGGGAGGCCGAGGTGGGCGGATCACGAGGTCAGGAGATCAAGACCATCCTGGCTAACACAGTGAAACCCCGTCTCTACTAAAAATACAAAAAATTAGCCGGGCGTGGTGGCGGGCGCTTGTAGTCCCAGCTACTCGGGAGGCTGAGGCAGGAGAATGGCGTGAACCCGGGAGGCGGAGCTTGCAGTGAGCCAAGATCAAGCCACTGCACTCCAGCCTGGGCGACAAAACAAGACTCCGTCTCAAAAAAAAAATATATATATATATACACACACACACATATACACACACACACACACACACAAGTCAACTGCTTTCTTACAGACTCACATTGGTGTAGTATAGACTCAATGAGTCACCTGGTTTTCAACAAATGACCAATGGTAATTCAATGAAAAAAGATAGCCTTTGTCAACAGTGTTGGAAAAACTGAACATCCACATGCAAAACACAATGAAAAAAACACGAATTTAGAAACAGACGTTACACCTTAAACAAAAACTCGCTCAAAATGGATCATAGATCTAAATGTAAAATCTAGGCCAGGAGCAGTGGCTCATGCCTGTAATCCCAGCACTCTGGGAGGCCATGGCAGGAGGACAGCTTGAAGTGAGGAGTTTTAGACCAGCCTGGGCAACTAAGTGGGAACCGATCTCTACAAAAAATACAAAAATTAGCCAGGTGTGGTGGTGCACACTTGGAGTCCCACCTACTCAGGAGGCTGAAGTGGGAGGAGTGCTTGCACCCAGGAGGTTGAGGCTGCAGTAAGCCAAGATTGCACTACTGCACTCTGGCCTGGGCAACAGAGGGAGACCTTGTCTCAAAAAGAAAAGTAAAGCTATAGGATACCTAAAAGTTAACAAAGAAGAAAACGTAGGTGACCCTGGGTTTGGTGATAAATTTTTAGATATAAGCAAAATCCACACAAAATAAATCAGTAAGTTTGACTTCATTAAAATGAAAAAGCTCCTCCTCTATGAAAGCTCTGTGTTAAGAGAATGAAAAAGACTCTAGAGCCTTTTGTAAAATGGTACCCATTTAAGGTGGGCCAATTTGCAAGTAACAGCATAAATGAGCTTAAGTAAAATTTATAAACAAGGACTATGTTGCCTCCAGAACATCAAAAGAACCTAGAAGATGCCGTGGGTAGTCAGAGGGACAATAGCTATTTCATAGTAGTGTCAGGGATGGAGCGGCCCTCCTTTTACCAAATGGTTTTTAGGAATTTAACCAAAACATAAAAGTCTCTTATTTTATATGTGGAGCAATGGACTTTTTGTAAGCTCTATTTTTTTTTCAATATTTATGTATCCTGAATGAATGTCAAAACAATGTCCTCAGACAAGGCTGTCATTAATGTAATGTCATACCTGTGCTCCTGGAGAAAGGTGGATGCAGTTCAGATTTCGCATGCAAAGACTGCGATGGCAAGGCTGTTGAGGTTCCCTTGGGAAACTAGGTAAAGGTGTATAATCAGCCTTCAGAGGTAAAACTGCAAACTATAGCTAAGTGGCTGTTGAAATAAGCACTAAACAGAACAGACATAAACAAATCCGTGAGATGGTGAGAAACAGAACAGACATACACAAATCTGTGAGATGGTGAGAAACAGAACAGACATATACAAATCTGTGAGATGGTGAAATCTGTGAGATCAGTTGGATGGTGTCAGTAATTTCCATGTTGGGTATTGGTATAGGGGCTTAATGAGTGCAACCACAGCATTAAGGTTGTGGTAATCCATTGTGGGTTGCCATTCATTCTTTGCAAGTTTAAGAAAGGCCAAAGTGTACTGTTAAAATGAGAAGCAATCACTTCCCCGCTAAATAGGTTTTATATAATATTTTTCAATCCTTCAAGGCCCTGTTCAATTTATATTGAGCCATCATAACTAATTTAACTAGGGAGTAAGTTCCATAGGGTCTCATTCTGTCAAGCCAATTTGTAAGTGCCAAAGATTTCATTTAAATTTAATTTAAATTTCACTTATGACTCACTGGTTTAGAGTTTACCTGTTCACTCTGGGATATTTTAGGACACTGGGTGCCATGAACATGGGGAATTTAGGCACAGTTATGATGGCTAAGATGAGACATATTTATTTGTCCTCTATTTTATATTCAGTAACTCCCTTAAGATTATTAGGGGATACCTTGCTTAAATTTTAGTGGGTCTCCCATGTATAACCATAATTTGAGCCCTCATATTGGCTAATCCTATAGTGTGTCAATTAATACATTACATAAGATGTTAAAATTAATACAGAGCCTATGACAGAGAGGCTCTTTTATCTTTTTTGTTGTCTAAATTCCTTTAGTCTATTTGGAATTTCCAATTGGGTCAAATTGTGGACCTCTTTCTCAGCATATTTTCTTTTGTTCCTTTCCTTCCAAACATGTTTGTTTTGTTTTTGTTTTTGTCCCTGGGTATATTTTGACAGCAAAATCCTCTCGACAGGGGAGGGGTGTTCTTTTCCCTCCAGAGAGCCACAAATCACTATTATCAGGCTTAGGGGCCTGTCCCTCGTGGCTGCTTTACAGAGTTTAAGGACCTGGGCCTTAAGCTGGCTTTGAATGAACCCTTTGCAATGCTGCAGAGGAACCATGAGTGTGCCCTATAATCCCGAGGGTCAGCATCCTTGCTGCAATAGAGCAACAGTAGCAGCACTTAAGGATCCCTGTGAGACCTGTGCTATTAGGAGTGTGGACTCGGCCCACCATCTAACAGCTGCCTTTCCCCCTCTTTTGTCTCTTTTTCAAAAATGACTGCTCTGGCAGGTAGTCTTTCCCATGAGCACCTTGTATGTCAGGTCAGCAGCAGTCACAGCTTCACTCCAAAACACACAGATAAGTCCAGGCCAAGAAACACTACCCGGGACCACTTTAAGGAGTATCCCAATCTCATATTCCTCTTCCTAAAAGCCAAGGAATTATCAAAACTGCCAACTCCAGTTGGCTAAACATAGAACCCAGACTTGGCAGGGCTCAACATGCAACACAGAGTAGCACAACTCAAAGTACTAGCTTCCCAGAAAGCAGCAGCTGAAAGTGCATGCTGGCCATCAAGCAACAGAGCAGGTAGCAATTCAGTGCAACAGACCCATGGGGTGACGGTCAATGTCTGAACACCATGTTCATGGTACCAATTCCTATGTTGTTCCAATGTTGACACTAATAACAGCATGGAAAACAGATACCAAAAGAGTATGAAAAGACTTACTACTGTGATCACGGAGGTCCTGGGGAAAGCAGGGCAGGCTGGTCAAGCAGGTGTGACATAGTTTCAGAGAGCAAAGAAAGCCTCCTGGCCTGGGTTTTTTATTGTAGTTTGGGGGTGGGGCTACAAGAGAGTTCCTGCTCAAGGGCAGGGGCTTCTGTGGTTTGAATTTCCTGCTCCCAGACTTTTTCAGCTTGCCCAGGTGTGCAACATGAGGAGAAGAGAGAAGGGTGAGGCTTATGATGTCCACAGCCAAAATCAAAACATGTGGAGTCCAACTACTCATTACAGAACCAACAAGAGTACAAAAAATATGCAGTTGAAATTGCTTGTTTTTATAAAAAGAAACACTGACAGTATGCTTAAGAAATTATTGAAAGGCCAGGCACAGTGCTTTATACCTATAACACCAGTGCTTTGACAGGCTGAGGCAGGAGGATTGCCTGAGCCCAGGCCAGGAGTTCAAGACTAGCCTGGGCAACATAGTAAGACTCCATCTCTACAAAAAATTTAAAAATTAGCTGGGAGTGGCAGGATACACCTGTAGTCCCAGCTACTCAAGAGGCTGAGGTGGGAAGATCACTTGAGCCTAGGAGGTTGAGGCTGCAAAAAGCTATCATCAGATCATTGTACTCCAGCCTGGGCTGGGCAACAGAGCAAGACCCCATCTCAAAAAAAATAAAAAATTGTCAAAAGTGAGCATTTGGGGGTGGCTAGAGCAAGTGCCCGAGCTTGGAGTGGACCAGGATATGCTGGCAGTGAGTCTTTTCAAATTACACTCAACTACTATGGATGTTTTTCAAACTTCCACATGCATGATTTCTTTAAAATAAACAGCTAAGGCCAGGCACGGTAGCTCACACCTGTAATCTCAGCACTTTGGGAGGCCAAGGCAGGTGGATCACAAGGTCAGGAGATCAAGACCATCCTGGCTAACATGGTGAAACGTCATCTCTACTAAAAATACAAAAAATTAACCGGGCGTGGTGGCGGGCACCTGTAGTCCCAGCTACTCAGGAGGCTGAGGCAGGAAAATGGCGTGAACCCAGGAGGTGGAGGCTGCAGTGAGCCGAGATTGTGCCACTGCACTCCAGCCTGGGCAACAGAGAGAGACTCCATCTCGGGGAAAAAAAAAAAAAGCTAAATTTAAATAAGCCATATTTTACTACTTAATAATCTTCATTTGTAATCAACTTACTTTTGCTTTTTAAATTTTGATTTAAAATTTTCTATGTATGAAATAATTCTAAGACTTACTCCAGGCTTGGCACGATGGCTCATGCCTGTAATCCCAGCACTTTGGGAGGCCAAGGCAGGTGGATCACGAGATCAGGAAATCAAGACCATCCTGGCCAACATGGTGAAACCTCATGTCTACTAAAATACAAAAAAATTAGCTGGACATGGTGGTGCATGCCTGTAGTCCCAGCTACTTGGGAGGCTGAGGCAGGGGAATTGCTTGAACCTGGGAGGCAGAGATTGCAGTGAGCTGAGATCGTGCCATTGCACTCCAGCCTGGCGACAGAGTGAGATTCCGTCTCAAAAAAAAAAAAAAAAAAAAAAAAGACTGAATCCAGCTGGGTGTGGTGGCTCATATTAGGGAATTTGGGGAAGCCAAGTTGAGAGGATTGCTTGAAGCCAGGAGGTCAACACCAATCTGGTCAAGAAAGTGAGACCCTGTCTCTACAAAAAAGAATATATATAATTAGCTGGGCATGGTGGCTCATGTCTGTAATTCTAGTTACTTGGGAGGCAGAGGTGAAAGGAGTTCAGGGCTGCAGTGAGTTATGATTGTGCCACTGTACTCTAACTAGGACAACAGAGCGAGACCCTGTCTAAAAAAAAAAAAAAAAAAAACTTAATACTTTAAACACTGACAGTTACAAAAGTACAAAATTTTCAAATCTCTTTCTAACTATAATGACAAGGTGCATTATTATGTGTCCTACCATCTCACACTGGGAGGTGTTACTGGGAATGAGTAGCATATTATAATGCATTAGCGTTTTATCTTAAGTATGTTAGGATTTTCATATATATATATATATATATATATATATATAAGCTTTGAGTAGTTATTCTACCAAATAAAGAAGTTCAGGCCGGGCGCGGTGGCTCATGCCTGTAATCCCAGCACTTTGGGAGGTCAAGGCTGGTGGATCATGAGGTCAGGAGATCAAGACCATCTGCCTAACATGGTGAAATCCCGTCTCTACCAAAAATACAAAAAATTAGCCAGGCGTGGTGGCAGGTGCCTGCAGTCCCAGCTACTCAGAAGGCTGAGGCAGGAGAATGGCCTGAACCCAGGAGGCAGAGCTTGCAGTGAGCCAAGATCGCACCACTGCATTCCAGCCTGGGCGAGAGAGCGAGACTCCATCTCAAAAAAAAAAAAAACGTTCAATTGCATTTCCCTTTTAGTTCAAGTGGAAATTCATTTGCAATAGGAATCATATGGACTTTGAGGTTTTTTTGTTTGTTTGTTTTTTGTATTTGTTTGTTTTTTTTGAGACAGGGTTTTAATCTGTCACCCAGGCTGAATGAAGCACAGTGACTCAATTTTGACTCACTGCCACCTCTGCCTCCCAGGTTCAAGGGATCCTCCCATCTCAGCCTCCTGAGTAGCTGGGACTACACCCAGCTAAAATTACCACACCCGGCTAATTTTTTATTTTTTTTTCTGTAGAGACAGGGTTTCGCCATGTTGCCCACGCTAGTCTCAAACTCCTGGGCTCAAGCAATCCACCTGCCTCAGCCTCCCAAAGTGCTGGCATTACAGGCATGAGCCACAATGCCGGGCCTCTTTTAAATTTCAAAATACTCTGGCCAGGCGCGGTGGTTCATGCCTGTAATCCCAGCACTTTGGGAGGCCAATGTAGGCGGATTATGAGGTCAAGCGATCAAGACCATCCTGGCTAACACGGTGAAACCCCATCTCTACTAAAAATACAAAAAAATTAGCTAGGTATAGTGGCAGGAACCTGTAGTCCCAGCTACTCAAGAGGCTGAGGCAGGAGAATGGCGTGAACCCAGGAGGCGGAGGTTGCAGTGAGCCAAGATCGTGCCACTGCACTCCAGTCTGGGCGACAGAACAAGACTCCGTCTCCAAAAAAAAAAAAAAAAAAAAGTTTCAAAGTACTCTATGACATGCACATACAAAAACCAATCTAAAAATGAAAAATGTACCTGAGAATGTAAATACATCCATCTCTTATCTTGAGGTTCTCTTGCCTAAAAGAAACAAATATTCTGTTTGGTTCCAGAATTTTCTTTCTTTCTTTTTTTTTTTTTAGAGATGGAGTCTTACTCTGTTGCCCAGGCTAGAGTGCAGTGCACAATCTCGGTTCACCGTAACCTCCCCAGCAACCCAGGGTTCAAGCGATTCTCTTGCCTCAGCCTCCTAAGTAGCTGGGATTACAGGCGCCCACCAAAAATTACATGTCTGGTTAATTTTTATATGTTTAGTAGAGACAGGGTTTCACCAAGTTGGCCAGGCTGGTCTCGAACTTCTGACCTCAAGTGATCCCCCTGCCTCGGCCTCCCAAAGTGCTGAAATTAGAGGCGTGAGCCACCACACCCAGCCCAGTTTCAGAATTGTCTTGCCTTAGTTGCATCATACCTTTCAATCGATTTACATTTTCAAACCCAAGAAACAAAATTTAACACACTCACATATGGAATAATATTAAAAAGTGTTAACAGAAACTAGAAATTCAGCTGCTGTAATAGTCAGCAAATAAAGGAATCCAAAGGAAAAAAAAACAATAGCCTGGACAACAGTGAGGATCTACAAAAAATTTACAAATTAGCCATGTGTGACAGTGCACACCTGTAGTCCTAGGTACTTGAGAAGCTGAGGTAGGAGGATTGTTTGACCCAACAAAGGTGTTCGAGGTTACAGTTAGCTATGATCACACCACTGCACTCTAGTCTGGGTGACACAGCAAGACTCTGACCAAAAAAAAAAAAAAAAAAAAAAAAAAAAAAAAAAAAAAAGGAAGAAAGAAAAGAAAAGAAAAAAAAGAAAAGGAAGGAAAACCACACCTGTAATCCCAGCACTTTGGGAGGCCAAGGTGGGAGGACTGTTTGAGGCCAGCAGTTTGGGATCAGCCTGGCCAACAAAGTGAGAACCCATCTCTAAAACACACACACACACACACACACACACACACACACTCTCTCTCTCTCTCTCTCTCTCTCTCTCTCTCTCTCTCCCCTCTTCTCCCTCTCTCTCTCAAGTCAGCTCAGACTAGCAGCCTGCTTCCCACAATTCAGAAGGAAAATCCACACTCAGAAAGCTAAACACATACACAAGCTTGGGGCCCACATTCTTGCTGTTGGGCAACAACCCTTAGTGTGAGACAGTCCTTGGTGACAGAGGGCAGGGGCACCTGAGGAGCCAAAGGAATGAACTCTGGGAGCTCCACACACTCCTTCACCCCAGGTGACAGTGAAACCGCCCCTTCAATTGTCGTGAGGAAACTCTCAACTGGACTGAGATTAAGGTTCTGACCCAAATGAACTCCCCAATTCATTCATCCTGTGTCCAGGAGACAGATCTCCTGGCCTTTACAGACTTTCTCACTATAGAAAAATTACACTGAGTGCACCTACACAACAGATGCAAAACTCAAACCTAATGTCTAAAAATAGGCCCAAGGAAACCACAAGTATGCCCTCAGGAAGAGCATCACTCAATTCAGCCAATCCCCTAATGTGCATTCAGACCCCCAGTTTTCCAGTGCTCAGCAGCTTCTCTCAGTATAAAGGGCTCCTTTAGGCCAGGCGTGGTGGCTCACGCCTGTAATCCCAGCACTTTAGGAGGCCGAGGCATGTGGATCACCAAGTCAAGAAATCGAGACCATCCTGGCCAACGTAGTGAAATCCCATCTCTACTAAAAATACAAAAAAAAAAAAAAAAAAAAAAAAAAAAATTAGCCGGATGTCGTGGCGGGCGCCTGTAGTCCCAGCTACTTGGGAGGCTGAGGCAGGAGAATCTCTTGAACCCACGAGGCAGAGGTTGCAGTGACCCGAGATTGCGCCACTGCACTCCAGCCTGGCGACAGAGCGAGACTCCATCTCAAAAAAACAAAAAACAAAAACAAAGGGCACCTTCCACAGTAGGTATGAGCAGATAGGACACCTGCAGGGGAGGCTCCCTAGGAAGACACAACTGGGCCTTCAATTACATCCCGTGGCAGACCCAAGGGTTGGCCTTAGAGCTTGGAGTCACTGACCTCAGTCTTCCAGTCCTCTTTGCTCTCCAGTCAAGTGACCTGCACCACTACTGATATTTAAATGAGAAAACCCAGTGTTTGAAGAAATCAAAGGGGAGGCTGAGGCAGGTGGATGACAAAAGGAAAGAACAGACCTGAGGAACTTGCTACACATGCTCAGAAGAAAAAAAGAGAAAAATTTTTAATAAATGCAATATGATACTGGGATATTTTATTATTATTATTATTATTATTATTAGCTGTTTTTGAGACAAGGTGTGAGACCTTGCTCAGCCTGGAGTGCAGTGGCACAATCAAGGCTCAAGGCAGCCTCAACCTCCCGGACTCAAGCAAACCTCCTGCCTCAGCCTCTCAGGTAGCTGGGGCTACAAGTGCAGGTCATTACGCACAGCTATTTTTTTTTTTTTCTACTAGAGATGAGGTCTCTCTACGTCATCTAGGCTGGTCTTGAACTCCTGAGCTCAAGCGATCCTGACTCAGCCTCCCAAAGTGCTAGGATTACAGGCATAAGCCACCGCTCCCGGCTTGGTATTTTACTATTTTCTGAAATCTATCTCTTTCCTTCCTCTTTGGAAATATTTTACATCCACTCTAAATGTTTATCTTACTTTTTTTTTTTTAATTTTTTTGAGACAGAGTCTCACTCTGTCGCCCAGACTGTAGTGCAGTGGCGCAATCTCAGTTCAACTGCAACCTTTGCCTCCTGGGTTCAAGCGATTCTCCTGCCTCAGCCTCCTGAGTAGCCAGGATTACAGACGTCCACCACCATGCCCGGCTAATTTTTTGTATTTTTAGTAGAGACAGGGTTTCGCCATGTTGGCTAGGCTATAGGTCTCCTAATTATATATATTTTACATTTTTTGAGAATCAATGAAGTGAGTAAATCTTTTCAAGGTGAAAAGCCCAGGGAGGGGAAGTGCTGCGCTGGAAAGGACAGATCGCCCAGAAAAGTTTCCAAAAAGGAGACTCAACCCAAAGGAGTTCCCATAGGATGTCAGGTCCCAGGAGAGATACTGGCAAGAGAGGCACAAGCATTTTACACGAGGTAGCTTCAGGTCCTTCTCCCCTGTTTTCCTCTCATGTAAATACCCAAAGCATACATTAAATCTTTTAAAAAGAACCATCCATTCCTCTGTACAAAAAGGATAATTAAAATACTGCGTCTGGTTGAAATGCCCCACAGAAGACAGTTAATAACGACGTTGTGAACTGGAGAGAAGACATCGGTATTTGAAAGGGATCTAGAAATTTAGGGATTTATTCCCAGCTCTGGGAAGAATCAGGCTGGAAAACAGGGTCGTGGATTTGAGATCTGGCTTCCCATACACTTGGAAACCTTGAGAAACGAGTCCTCCCTTGGGAAGAAAAGAGGGCCTGAGGACCCCACACAACACTGCTCCTCCCACGCACGAACCCCACGACCCAGGCAGGATTCCCCCCATGACCCTCCCGTGCCCCCCGCACAATCTAGGGAGACGCGGGACTGCGGGCTCGGAGCTGCCCAGAGAGGGCTCCGGGGCCGCAGTCGCCGCGCAGGGACTGGACAGGACGCACGGGGTCCCGGCTGCCGGCCCAGCCCCACCCTGCGGCCAAAGAGACCGAGGGCCGAGCTGCGCCAGGGGGACTCGGGTCCACAGACCCGGGAGACAACGGCGGGGAGGCCTGGGTCCCACCACAGCCAGATCCGGCCGGTTCCAACCCGCCCCTCTCCCCCATCTTAAGACGCTCAGCCCCGCACACGCACCATTTCCCAGACTCTGGGACGTCCTGGTGTCCTGTCTACTTCTCCCGCGGCCAGCACAGCTCCCACCACCCCCCGAGAGGCCCTTTTGGGGTGAGGAGACCCCATAGCGGAGCGCAGCGGCTAGTAGAGACGTCCTCGCCGTTTGCGCAGCGTCCCCTCCGCCCGCCTTCCCGGCGGCGCCCCTGATTGGACGTTGCACTCTTGGACCCGCCTTTCTTGCCTGAGTGACCGCTGGTCGGGAAGTCGCGTCTCTAAGCAACCCGCATTCGTTCGGGGTTAGGAATCTGTTCCCCTGCCACGGATATTTGCATCTAAGCAGAATTTGTTAACGTACCCGGGGTCGGGCGCTGGTATCTGCCTGCAGCTCCTTCTGAGCGCGGAGACATAAGCGTACACAGCGCAGGAAATTCCAGGCTCAGTTTCCAGATAAAGAGAGGCTCTTTGTCCACAGCAAAAAGGGCGCCCCGGCCATGCCAGACTGGAGCGGGAGGGTCAGATGCTCCCAGACTTAGCATAAGGCTGCGAGGTCATTCATGGGTTTCTAACTCTTGTTTACAAATACAGACACTTAGAGTGACCTCATCGTACCTAACAAAGAGTCTGACTACGTTTTAATCTTTGACAACTGACAGGGTTTAGGGCATCACCCATCCCTTCCCTCCCCCGCCACACTTTGCTCTAGTGGGAAGTTTGGACCCCACAGCCTTAGTCTGAGAGAAAGAGTTCCTTTTTTTTTTTTTTCCTCTGGTAGAGATGGCGGTGGGGGGTTCTAACTATGTTGCACAGGCTAGTCTCAAACTCCTGGGCTCAGGCGATCCTCCTTGGCTTCCCAAAGTGAAGGGATTACAGGCGTGAACCACCATGCCCGGTGAGGAATTCTTTTCAGTTCAACCCAAAGCCATGAGATGTGTTCAGCAAAACTGAACACTGGAAGGATATTTATTTCGGACCAGTTTTTTACTGTGTCCCTAGAGAACTTTTGTGGGTCCTTTATGTTTGTTTGGTTTGTGGTTGCTTTTGAGACAGGGCCCCTTTGTCCCTCAGGCTGAAATGCAGTGGTGCAATCAGAGCTCACTGCAGCCTCGACCTTCTGGGTTCAAGCAATCCTCCCACCTCAACCACCTGAGTAGCTGGAACCTCAGGTGCGTGCCATCATCCTTGACTCATTTCTTTCTTTTTATTTTTATTTTCTAGAAACAGGGTCTCACTATTTTGCCCAGGCTGATCTTGAACTCCTGGGCTCAAGTGATCTGCTGTCCTCAGCCTCCCAAAGTGTTAGGATTACAGGCGTGAAGCACCGCACCCAGCCCCTAGAGAACTTTGAAATGTAAATGGCTATGATATCCATAAGGCAATTAATTCCTATTTTGACTGAGATTATTTAAAAAAACATAAAAGGTTATGTAAAGTTGGCATGTACCAGGAAACTCAATATACTTAAGATACTGGATCAAAACTACTAATGGGCTGAGCATGATGGCTCACACCTGTAGTTCCAGCACTTTAAGAAACTAAGGTGGGAGGGCTGCTTGAGCCCAGGAGTTTGAGACCAGCCTGGGCAACATAGTCAGACCCCCCCATCTCTAAGAAAATTTTTAAAAATTAGCAGGGCATGGTGTTGCACACCTGTAGTCCCAGCTACTGGGGAGGCTGAGGGCCGAGGATCGTTTGAACCCAGGAGACCAAGGCTACAGTGAACTGTGATCCTGCATTCCAACCTGGGTGACAGAGTGAGACCCTGTTGGAAGGAAGGAAGGAGGGAAGGAGGGAAGGAGGGAAGGAAGAAAGGAAGGAAGGAGGGAAGGAAGGAAGGAAGGAAAAAGGAAACCCCTGTAGCCTTTGACTGTCACTGTCCTATCTTCTCATCTTCCTCCTCCAAGCCTCTGTCCCAAGCAACCATTACTTTACTTTGGGTTGCTATATAGCTTTCCCATTCTAGAACTGGAATGGAATCATATACTATGTGTTCTTTGTGATTAACTTCATTCACTTAGCATAACTGTTTCAAGGGACATTTACATTGAAGTTTGTATCAATACTTCATTTGTTGTCTACAGTGAAACAATATTTCATCATATGGATATAGCCCATTTTGTTTATCCATTCATCTATTAATAGGCATTTGGTTTGTTTCCACCTTTTAGCTGTTATTAATAAGTTTGCTATAAACATCCATTGTACAAGTTTTTCTGTAGACATAGGATTTCATTTCTCTTGGGAATACACTTAGGCGTGGAATCGATGGATTACATGGTAATTCTATCTTTAATAGTTGAAGAGCTGCCAGACTCTTCTCCTCTCCTTTGGGAAATTCTATTACACACATATTGGTGAACTAAATAGTGTTCTGCATATTTCTAGGCTCTCTTCATTTTTCTGTTTTTTGTTTTTATTTTTAAGATGTAGTCCTGGGCCAGGCATGGTGGCTCACACCTGTAATCCCAGCACTTTGGGAGCCTGGCCAATATGGTGAAACCTCATCTCTACTAAAAATACAAAAATTAGCTGGGCATGGTGACGTGCACCTGTACTCCCAGCTCCTCGGGAGGCTGAGGCAGAAGAATTGCTTGAACCCAGGAGGCGGGGTTGCAGTGAGCCGAGATCATACCACTGCACTCCAGCCTGGGCGACAGAGACTCTGTCTCAAAAAATAAAAATAAAAAAGACTCCACCAAAAAACTATTAGAACTGATAACCCAACTCAGTAAAGTTCCAGGATACAAAATCAACATACAAAAATCAGTAGCATTTCTATATGCCAACAGCAAACAATTTTAAAAAGAAGTCATTAAAGTAATCCCATTTATAATAGCTACAAATAAAATTAAATACCTAGGAATTAACTTACCCAAAGAAGTGAAAGATACCTACAATGAAAGCTATAAGACATTGATGCAAGAAATTGAAGAGGACACAAAAAATGAAAAGATACTCATGTTCATGCATTGGAAGAATCACTATTGTTAAAATGTCCACACTAACTAAAGCAATCTAGAGATTTAATGCAATCCCAATCAAAATACCAATGACACTCTTCACAGAAATAGAAAAAACCATCCTAAGATGTATGTGGAACCAAAGAAGACCCAGAATAGCCAAGCTATCCTAAGCAAAAAGTACAAAACTGGAGAAATCATATTACCTGACTTTAAATTATTTAAATATGACTATAAATCATATTATCTAACTTTAGAGCTACAGTAACCATAATGGCATGGTACTGGAATAAAAACAGACGCAAAGATCAGTGGAACAGAACAGAGAAGCCAGAAATAAATCCATACATCTATGGTGAAGTCATTTTTGACAAAAGTGCCAAGAACATACATTGGGAAAAGGACAGTCTCTTCAGTAAAGAGACTGGGAAAACTGGATATCCATATGCAAAATAATGAAACAGACCCCTCTCTCTCACCATATACAAAAAGCAAATCAAGATCAGTTACAGACTCAAATCTAAGACCTTAAACTATGAAACTACTAAAAGAAAATATAGGGAAATTCTCCAGAACATTGGAGTGGGCAAAGATTTCTTGAGTAATACCCTACAAGCACAGGCAACCAAAGCAAAAATAGATAAAGGGGTCACATTAAGTAAAGAGCTTCTGTACAACAAAGTGAAAAGACAAGCTACAGAATGGGAGAAAATATTTGCAGACTACCCATCTGACAAGGAATTAGTAACCAGAATATAGGCCAGGCGCAGTGGCTCACGCCTGTAATCCCAGCACTTTGGGAGGCCGAGGCGGGAGGATCACGTGGTCAGGAGTTTGAGACCAGCCTGACCAACATGGAGAAACCCTGTCTCTACTAAAAATACAAAATTAGCTGGGCGTGGTGGCACATGCCTGCAATTCCAGCTACTCCGGAGGCTGAAGCAGGAGAATCGCTTGAACCCATGATGCGGAGGTTGCGGTGAGCTGAGATTGCACCATTCCACTCCAGCCTGGGCAACAAGAGGGAAACTCCATCTCAAAAAAACAAAAACAAAAACAACTTTTTAAAAAACCCCAGAATATATAAGGAGCTCCAAAAAAATCTATAGAAAAAAAATCCAATAATCGGATTAAAAATGGGCAAAAGATCTGAAAAGACATTTCTCAAAAGAAGGCATGCAAATGGCAAACAGCTATACGAAAAGGCCAACATCATTGATCATCAGAGAAATGCAAATCAAAACTATTATACAATGAGATATCATCTCACCCCTGTTAAAATGGCTTTTATCCAAAAGTCAGGCAGTAACAAATGCTGGAGAGGATGTGGAGAAAAGGGAACCTTTGTACACTGTTGGGGGGAACGTAAATTAGCACAACACTATGGAGAACAGTTTGGAGGTTCCACACAAAAGAAATAGAGCTGCCATTTGATCCAGCAACCCCACTTTTAGGTAAATACCCCAAAGAAAGAAAATCCGTGCATTGAAGAGATATCTGCACTCCTATGTTTATTGTGGCATTATTCACAATCGCCAAGATTTGGAAGAAACCTAGGTATCCCTCAACAGATGAATGGATTTAAAAAAACATGTTTCAAATACACAATGGAGTACTATTCAGCCATAAAAAAGAATGAGATCCTGTCATTTGCAACAATTTGGATGGAATTAGAGGTCATTATATTAAGTGAAATAAGCCAGGCACAGAAAGACAAACTTCACATGTTCTCACTTATTTTGGGGAGCAAAAAATTAAAACAATTGAACTCATGGAGATAGTAGAAGGATGGTTACCAGAGGCTGGAAAGGGTAGTGCGGGGGTGGGAGGAAGAGGAAGTGAGGATGGTCAATGGCCACAAAAAATAGAATGAATGAGACCTAGTATTTGCTAGGATAACAGGGTGATTATAGTAGAAAATAATTTGGTTGCACATTTTAAAATAACTAAGAGTATAATCGGCTCTTTGTAACACAAAGGATGAACCCTTGAGTTGATGGATTCCCCATTTACCATGATGTGATTATTACGCATTGCAAGCTTATATCAAAATATCTCATAAATATATACCCATAAATATATACACCTACTATGTACCCACAACAAAATTTAAAATTAAAAATGTAAACATTGCCTGGTCTCTGTGAACCTACAGGGTCACAGTTCTGAGTGTCCTGGCAGCATGATGCCAAGCCACTGTCCTCTGGAGAATATCTGACTCTCCTGATCCAGTATGGCCTTGCCTTCAGGGCCCTTTTGCTGTGGAT